TCATCATCATGTCAACAACAACAACAGCATTCATCATCATCATCATCATCATCATCATCATCATCATCATCATCATCATCATCATCGTGTCAACAACAACATTCATCATCATCATCATCATCATCATCATCATCATCATCATCATGTCAACAACAACATCATTCATCATCATCATCATCATCATCATCATCATCATTACGCCAACAACAACAACATTCATCATCATCATGTCAACAACAACAACATTCATCATTATCATCATCATCATCATCATCATCATCATCATGTCAACACCAATCACAACATTCATCATCATCATCATCATCATCATCATGTCAACAACAACAACAATATTCATCATTATCATCATCATGTCAACAACAACAACAACAACATTCATCATCATCATGTCAACAACAACAACATTAATCATTATCATCATCATCATCATCATCATCATCATGTCAACACCAATCACAACATTCATCATCATGTCAACACCAATCACAACATTCATCATCATCATCATCATCATCATCATCATCATCATCATCATCATGTCAACAACAACAACAATATTCATCATTATCATCATCATGTCAACAACAACAACAACAACATTCATCATCATCATGTCAACAACAACAACAACAACATTCATCATCATAATGTCAACAACAACAACAATATTCATCATTATCATCATCATGTCAACAACAACAACAACAACATTCATCATCATCATGTCAACAACAACAACATTCATCATTTTCATCATCATCATCATCATCATCATCATCATCATCATCATCATCATCATCATCATGTCAACAACAACCACAACATTCATCATCATTATGTCAACAACAACAACATTCATCATCATTATTATGTCAACAACAACATTCATCATCAGCAGCAGCAGCAGCAGCAGCATCATGTCAACAACAACAACAACATTCATCATCATCATTATCATCATCATCATCATCTTCATGTCAACAACAACAACAGCATTCAACATCATCATCATCATCATCATCATCGTGTCAACAACAACAACAACATTCATCATCATCATCATGTCAACAACAACAATAACATTCATCATCATCATCATCATCATCATCATCATCATGTCAACAACAACATTCATCATCGTCATCATCATGTCAACAACAACAACATTCATCATCATGTCAACAACAACAACATTCATCATCATCATCATCATCATGTCAACAACAACATTCATCATCATCATCATCATCATCATCATGTCAACAAAAACAACAACATTCATCATCATCATCATCATCATCATGTCAACAACAACAACATTCATCATCATGTCAACAACAACAACATTCATCATCATCATCATCATGTCAACAACAACATTCATCATCATCATCATCATCATCATCATCATCATCATCATCATCATCATCATGTCAACAAAAACAACAACATTCATCATCATCATCATCATCATCATCATCATTATGTCAACAACATTCATCATCATCATCATCATCATGTCAACAACAACAACAACATTCATCATCATCATCATCATGTCAACAACAACAACTTTCATCATCATCATGTCAACAACAACAACAACATCATTCATCATCATGTCAACAACAATCACAACATTCATCATCATCATGTCAACAACAACATTAATCATCATCATCATCATAATCATCATGCCAACAACAACAACAACATTCATCATCATCATCATGGCAACAACAACAACATTCATCATCATCATTATTATGTCAACAATCATCATCATCATCATCATCATCATCATCATCATCATCATTATCATGTCAACAATCATCATCATCATCATCATTATTATCATGTCAACAATCATCATCATCATCATCATCATTATCATGTCAACAACAACAGCAACCAACATCACCATCATCATGTCAACAACAACAATCATCATCATCATGTCAACAACAACAACATTAATCATCATCATCATCATCATCATCATTATTTCAACAACAACAATCATCATCATCACCATCATCATCAAGTCAACAACGACATTTGTCATCATCATCATCATCATCATCATCACCATCATTATGTCAACAACAACATTTATCATCATCATCATCATCATCATTATTTCAACAACAACAACAATCATCATCATCATCATCAAGTCAACAACGACATTTGTCATCATCATCATCATCATCATCACCATCATTATGTCAACAACAACATTTATCATCATCATCATCATCATCATTATGTGGATTGGTTGGGCAAACTCCCATGCCCCCTCCATCACCCTTGCAAGGGTATAGAGCTGGTCCACAGTTCCACGGCCAGGACGAAAACCACATTGCTCCTCCTCTATCTGAGATTCAACTATCGATCGGACCCTCCTCTCCAGTACCTTGGAGTAGACCTTTCCAGGGAGGCTGAGTGTGATCCCCCTATAGTTGGAACACACCCTCTG